TGTACTTATGTCCACAAGGGTTCATTGTACTAACGATACACCCATTGTTGTTATCCACAAGTAGCTTGTGTTTGTTTGTAGGGACCCGTTGTATCTACTACGACCTCCTGGAAGTGTTCTTAGAAGACCCATTGTTCCTAAATCATATCCACCTTTCACCAATCTCAGGTGGTTTGATGATTGTACTTGTTTGTAGGGACGGGTCTTCTACCTTCAATTGACAGTTTTGCCTTCTTCAATCAACAAATATTTGTTCGTAAGGAGAATTACACTTTATTGTGGTTATTTCACATTCGTAGGCATTTGCACTTAGTCTGCTGGAAATCGACCTAGAAAGTCAAAATCTTTGAATTCCTGAATTAAGCTTAGAAAATTATAATGTGCTAGAGCTTTTACTTCAGAAAAATGGATTTTTACTATTATTATTTCATGCATCAGTTTATTATGCGAACATGTATATATTATAAAGTTCTGATTAAAGTTTTTTAAATTATAACTTTTGATTTCTAGAATTGAGCCATCTAATCCCATATATCATGAGGAAATTATTTGTGCTTAGGATGGTTAGCTGGCAACTCACTCCAGGTAAATATAAATCCAGATTTTATAAAACATTCAGTCTCTACACATTCCTCCTGTTCTATCCTTCCAAAAATTCAGAATTTGAAATCTAAATCTAAATATAAACTTTAAATCTAAATTAAAGATTTACAATCTAAATCCTGTGTACTAAAATCTTGATAGCTCATGCCTTTCTTTGAATCTATATAAATTTTAAAATCTTGATAGCTCATCAATCAGTTGCAAGGGATATATGTATTTGTCTTTGATCGGATAATTGTTGACACTAGCGGGCATTTACATTCGTTGTATGCTTCGCTGCATACATCCATAAAAGGTGTTATTCGATTGATGTCGGATGTGAGGGTACTATATCGTGTACAATCATTCACAAATATTGCCGTCTTTGCTGCACCTCGATCCTTCACGATGATATGTGGGTTAGCATCTTTTGCATACAATGATCTTTTTATTCATCATTGTTTATTTGAAAGTGTAGACTTTGTCACTAAGGACCTTGCATCTTTAGCAGCTTCGTGTAGTCCTCAATTTAGAGACCCAAAATCATGGCATATGAGTTAAGTTCTTTAAAGTTCATTCAAGTTTAAGTTCTATGTTCGGGTCCCTTGCAGTCTAACCCAAGTTCTCGCTTGAGTTCATTTAGGTCCAAGCTCAAATTAGATCCTCTATTGCTCGTATGATTTGAGTTCATTTGAGTACAAGTCCACGAGTCCTCTTGCATATGATTCAAGTTTGTTCTTTGTATATGTTTGAGTCTCAGGTGCGAGTCCAAGTGCTTGTTCAAGTCTGGTTCGTACTTGGATTTCTTGTGGTCCTCTTGAGTTCAGACTCCATTCAAGTTTAAGTCTTTGGTTCAATTCAAGTACTCGCTCAAGTTCAAATTGTTTAGACCATTAGTGTTCAATTTGAGTATAGAATGCAAGTTCAAGTAGTCCGGTTTAATTCATTTCATTTTTCGAATTGAGTTTGAGTTCACTTGAGTCCGAGCCTTGTTCAGTTTTAATTAGATTTGGATTCATTTAAATTCATTTTCATAGTTCCCCTGCTCGTGTTCAATCAAGTCCACAAGTGATTGTTCATCTGAGTCCGGGTTCTTATTCTTTTGAGTTCAAATCAAGTCCGAGTTTGTTCGTACATTTACCCGAAATTTTGGCAGCCTCCCAGCGTCTCTCCCGTTTAGGGGAAAACAATGGAAAACTGGGCCTCCCGCCACGCTAGAGAAAAGCGTGCACGGTTGGTACCCTCGGATGAGGACACCGCGGCCGTAAAGTCTTTGTCCCCACCACGCCAGAGAAAGGCGTACATG